GAGAAGACAGTCAGAGGAGAAGACAGTCAGAGAAGAAGACATTTCTGAATGTTTTTCTGATTTGTCTTCATTTCCACATTTGAAGCCTTTTCTGTCTTTTAGAATCTGGTGACCGCACTTGGCTGTACTTGGCATCCTGAGCATTTCTGCTGTAAAGTCTGTAGGAAGAAAATTGGGGAAGAAGGTAAAAAATCATGTTGTCCAAATCCCAGATTGAGTGATTAGTGGCTGGTGTCTCTGCACACTCTTGCATGTAACTGGCTTGTCATTACAATGCAGTCATGTGAGCATTGTAGCATGTTATCATATGTTATATCGTTTCTACATGCCTAATGTTTCTGCATGGACACATTTTCTCCTGGATTGATTGATTTTGTTCTGTGGTCTTCTGGTGCCTCATCCTCAATCTTCAATAAAGTCCACTTTTCTTCTTCTTCTTCTCCTCACATTTCAATCTAGGCTTCTCTGCAGGCTTTGCTCCAACACCTTTCACAATCAGAGCTGTATCCTCACCCCTCACCCATCTCTCAGGATCTACAAGGTGATTGAGAATCCCGAGTGCTGGAAGTCTCACCTATATGTCCTAATATCATCTGCTGGATCACAATGCTATGATATAGATACAGTATATAGAGATATCCCTGAACTTTGTTGGTAAACAGACAAAGCTGGACAATGCAACAAACTGAAATGCTAAATGCTATCCTCTGCATACGGAAAAGGTTTTCTACTGTAAAAGCTGTTCAATGGATAAGGGTCTGTGCTGATGGAACTAGCCCAATGAGTGAGCTTCTTATTCTTTACATTTTACATGTCTTTCTGTCTATAGAGTTCCCATTTCCAATTCAATTTCTAACTCCAAAACTTGGACGCTGCTATCTCTGGAAATCCTGCCATTGCTCATAGTCTGGAGGTCTCATACATGTAAACCTGGACATACCAGTTTGTGGGAGTCCAGCTCATAGTCTGGGTTGACCCACCTAGTTCAGATTAGTGCAAAAAGCATTGGGAGTACTATGAGTACTCTTTGGATGAGCCAAATGCAGGCCAGCAAACAGAACATAGACCTGCTCACACAGGCATGAAACATTATGTTCTTTCCTTGTGCCCTCCCCCGACACTGAATGGCCACCATTATAGGTGATCAGTGCACATGAGGAATCCAGTAACCTCCATCTCAACCTTCACTTTGGACTGGCTCCATCATAACATCAGCCTTTTCCATGCACTGTTTTTAACCCTAAGTAAGCTGTCAGAATATGATATCTGCTTTTTTCATCGTATAAAGGAATCATTAGCAGATCATAGGAATCTCCTGAGATCTGAGGACACATATAACCATGTGTTAAGTCAGACAGCCACAGATCCCTACACTGATAGGAAGGACTCCAATCTACAGCTGTCATTTTTCTGCCAATTGTAAAGATTGTAGTCTCACAAAACATAGCAATGCTTATGGTTTCCTAAATTCCCATAATCCCTCCCTTGTTTGCTTCCTTGGGGTTACCCTAACCCCTAACTCTAACCCTAAATCAATGAGATGCTGCTGTCCAGGGAGTGCCGAGAGCAGTGGCTGAGGTTGTGTCGTGTTGTGTAGAGGGCTGGAGCCAAGGAGTGATGGCTGGTTCTGCTCACATGGGAGGTCATGCACATTCAAGCAGGGACGATTCGCTGACAGACAAAATGGGGCCCAGAGAACGATGACTGTCTGTAGCCCGCTATTGGCAGGTCCTGGACAGATCCCATGAGTGTGGATAAGCTGGTGTCCCTTGTGGAGCTACATACTGCTACCGAGCACTATCTCTGGGATCTACCAGTAAGACCCAAAAGCAGGAAAATGTTGATCTCAAGTTTAATCTTCCTTTATTAACTAAGTGGCAAACAGGCTTCTATGGAGGGTAGGCGAGACCCTCATGAATTTCAAATTTGCACACCCTCTACTCTCTAATAGGTGCTAGCAATGCCAATGACTGGGACATGTGGCTACCAATTTCCTCTATATCACATGAGCCTATAGAGTTTGGCCTGGGTGGTATATATCACTATTTGCCAAACCTAGGAGCTGAGACTGGGAGATGTGTCCTATCACCATAGTCGGACATGAAGCATTTTCATCTTGGTCCATGCCAGTCTGGTGGACCCTGCAAAGCTTGGCTCAGACCTAATAAGAGTACTTGGTATACATGGCAATGCCAAAGACTACCCTACTGCAGTGTTCTCAGTGGAGACATGTACTGGAAGTGTTAGTGCATATCATTAGCATTGTTAAAAACTTGCTACAAAGATTAATACTGGGCAGTCATCTTCCACCGTTTTGGGAACAGTGGGAGTAAAACAGGTAACCAGGTCTAAAATTATGCCTGAAATCAATAATGCCAGAACTTGAGGGGAATAAAATCAGAGGTACCTGACAACTTCTGGCTAGTGCTCATGGTTGAGGAGTCAGAGAAAACAGCCCCAGTGTTGGAGACCACAGATATATCAGCGGGCAAGGAGAATTTTAGGACCACACCCTATTTCGCAGTATACCATGACTTACTCTATTGTGTAAAGAAGGAATGGGACCAAGTTGTGGAGAAGTTGGTGGTACTCCAGACTGACACAACGATGGTGTTGGATCTGGCCCATTCTCATGTGATGGTCATTAGTGGTAGGGTTAGAGAAAAGAGAAGACAGAGCAGTGTTTTTTTATGGCCTGCTTTTTTCAAACCAGTTGAAGAATATTTTGAATCTTACCTTGAGTGTCCAATTAACACAATCCAATCACATTTTCAATGTCTGCTGATACACTTGCTTAATTAGGCTCCCTTTTGATAGGGTTTCTATGGGTCTGGTCAGGCTGATGAAGAAGTCCACCATAGGGCACCAGTGCATATCGATAGTCCGTGACTATGCCACTCGCTATCCAGAAGCAATCCCTTTTAGAAACATGTCCTTTAGGGTTATACTGAAAGAGCTGTTCTCTTTTGGGTTAGGGTTTCCTGTACTAGTATTCCTAAATACTAATGAACCCCTTTTATCTCAAAGGTATACAAAGAGCTTTGTAGGTTGTTGAAAACTACTCATCTACCCATAAACTTAGAACTAGAACTATTAGAAGATATGCTAAAAAAGTGGTTGATCAGGATGCAAAAGATTGGGACCTGTTACCATACTTAATGTGTTAATAAGAGAAGTGCTACAGGTCTCCATAGGTTTTTCCTACATGGAGGAACCCACAGGACTGCTATGTGTCCTCAGAGTGGAAGGGACACTTTGGGGGGCTCTTAAAGGAGAACTATGAGGGGGGTGCTTTTCACTCACCTCATAGTTCTAGCCGACCTGTGACAATGAGACTGTAATTTTGCTACCACACCTCTCTATTGTCTCTCAAAATATTTCAAACTATCATGACTGGGGTTTTTAGGTATTGCCAAAGTAATCTCAAGCAACATTCTGTAAAATACATAATTTATTTAATAACATGATCAAACCGTATACTATATCATAAAATCAATGCATGGGTCACATTTGATTTTGTAATATTACATATTCAATAAATAATCCTTAGGTTAGTCGTCCATTGGTCCCAGACACCCAGCTCAAACAAACAAGGGGGGTCTCCTTAATCCATTCCAGGTCCATAGTCACTAGGAAGGAGGCTGGCCGCCAGCCCCCTCCAGGAGCCCAGGTCACGGTGGGTTCTGTGACATTTCTTCCCCACCAAAAGTAGACTTATTAGGTCCCAGTCCCCCAAATGGTCTGGACCTGCATTTGTCGGGCCGCATAAGTCCACATATTCCATCCAAAGGGCATCCTGCCTCTGGGGATATATGTTGTCTGTGCCTTCCTGAAACACATGGTGCCTCTGGTGAGAGATAAAGCCAGAATCTTCTGGACACCAAAGCCGCGTGCTGGTGGAGAGGCCGGCTTCCTGTTCTCCCATGGAGGTTGGTACCAGGTTCCCGATCTTCAACAGGTCGGAACCTGCGTTAGACATGTACCCCCACCCCAGCAAAACACCCAAATAAAAAGTTTGTCTCTGGCGCTGGGGATTAGAACTGCACGTTCTGTCTCCCTTACATACGTACAGCCGCAGCAGAGCGGGACCGCCTGTCCGCACTCCCTGGATCCTGGGGTGGGTCACTGCTATTGGGGAGAGGTACCTGACTCTTTGCCCCGAAGCCAGCGCTTCTGCTGGGGTGGCAGACACTGGGGTAGTGTCTGCTTGCGGGGAAAGGAGAACCACTTTCTCCACTTCCCATTCTGTGATCTACCGCTGGGGAGACATCATGCGTGGATCTGCTCTCAGATTCTCTGGATCTGTAATGGGGTTTGGGCAGAGGCCAGCGGCGCTCTGCCCCGTAGCCAGCTCTTCTGCTGGGGTGGCAGACACTGGGGTCGTGTCTGCTTGCGGGGGAGGGAGCACCACTTTCTCTGCTTCCCATTCTGTGATCCACCGCTGGGGAGACATCATGCGTGGATCTGCTCTCAGATTCTCCGGATCTGTAATGGGGTTCGGGCAGAGGCCAGCGGCGCTCTGCCCCGTAGCCAGCTCTTCTGCTGGGGTGGCAGACACTGGGGTCGTGTCTGCTTGTGGGGAGTGGAGAATGGTTTTCTCCCCGGGCCATCCGGACCCATCACTCTTCTCTGGCTCGACCTGGGCAACACCAGGTTCGTCCAGGTGGTTTAGCGCTCGCAGTGCCCTTTGTATGATCTCTGCTTCTTCCACTGCGGTTAGGTAGGGAAAACATAGGATCCCCTCCGGCTCAATCTCTTCTGCGACTTCCACGACTTCCTGACTGTCCGCTGCTTCTTCAGGACAGTCCCAGGCAATGGGAGCCATGCCTGGCTGCTGAGCACCGTCGAGCAGCCGCTTGTAGGCAATTTCGAGCGCCCACTCGTGCGTGGCCAGGAACCTCAAATCGTCCTGGATCCACTCTGCTTCTGGGAGGTTCAACACTCGATCTCGGACCTCCAGAATGTCTTCCAGCCGCCACTCCTGGTCACTCCCAAAGTCCGGGTCCTCGGACAGCTTTCCGTATAGCAGCCCCAAGCTGCCGTAGCTGAAGCCTTCTGTCGGGCTGCCATCTGCTGTCTCAGGGTACACTTGGGTTGCGTGCCACCGGAGGGCTCTGTAACCGTCGTCCAGCCGCATCTCGTCCTGGACCAGGACACTCAGCTCTGCCGTCCATTCTTCAGGCGGTTGTTCACCTAGAAGCACCTCTCGTGCCTCGTACTGTACCCAGTACCTTTCCAGGAAGGAAAGACTCTTCCTCTGGTGCCGCTGCTCACTGGCCAACGCCTCTTGCCAGAGTTGCTGACGTACCACATCATACCAGCCGAACAGGATTTGCTCCGATACTGGTTCTCCGTGTTGCTCCCGCAGTTCTTGCAGCCTCCTTCCGAACTCCTCTTCTATGTTGGCTGGTCCCCGTACTGCTCCTCTGCTGCTCTCCGGTTCTTGTATCCCGGTGGTGGTTTGGATGTCCCAGACTGCAGGAAAACATCCCACCGCTTGCCACCAATGTGACGGACCCCCGTACTCAGGATGAGTATGTCCGCCGCTGTCTTCTTCCTTGCTGAGATCTTGCAACCTGAAGATCTTTAGCTCCCAGTTTCCCCAGTCACTAGCCAAGGCTTGAGTGTAGGTGAAACAAACTCTGGTTTATTGAACAACTGCACAAACTTTTATACAGAAAGTGATCAGATCAGAATATAATCCCATCACATCCCCCGTCCCCTCCCTGGACATTCTGTCTTCATAACACCACAGGTGTCCACCTGCTAACGAGCTCCAGACAGCCATAGCAAGAGCCTGGCCAGAATGTCATTGTTCTGAGCTCCCTCAGAGAACAATGGGAGATAACGAGGGATGGTGCTGATAGTCTTTCCCTAACCAGGTCACACAGCATAACGCACTCAAACATAACTCAACACCAATACACATTTAACTTATAAACTCATCACCATGTCGTCACAGTTAGGTCCTTATTTTCTTGAATTTAACTGTTCTTTTATGTATTCCAATTGTGGTTCGACGCGTTTTGCTCTATTGCTTCGTCAGGAACCACAGGTAGATCAGGTGATGTGTAGATAACCTTGTGCCCCCAGGATGAATCTCAACTCCTCCTTAAAAGAGAACTATGGGGTAACCTTTTTTCCCATAGTTCTCTTAAGGGTAACGGGAGGACATATTCTAACGTCCTCCCGTGACACAAAGCTCAGTATATAGCAAGCTATTACTCACTATATACAGAGATCGCCGCAGCCGGGACAATGCTGCCGGGATCCATCCAGCTGCTTGAGTGACAGCTGGCTCTGCATATCTAGAGGCAGAGCTGGCTGTGCCCGCCCCTCCCCCATCCGTTCCTCCACTCAGCACTGGAAGATCAGAGCGGGGGGGGGGGGGGGCCCCGGGGGGGGGGGGGGGCCCCGGGGGGGGGGGGGGGCCCCGGGGGGGGGGGGGGGCCCCGGGGGGGGGGGGGGGCCCCGGGGGGGGGGGGGGATTTTCACTCACCTCTTAGTTCTAGCCGACCTGTGACAGTCAGACAATGATCTTCCTCATAGTTCTCCTTTAAGGTTGTCCTGTTTGGATTAGTTCTTCTACATAATCGAATATCTCTAGTAAATGACCCTTTTTTCCCCCACAGGGTTCCATGAGAAAGAAGGAGAACCTTACTGTTCAGATGATTATTTTCGCCTGTTTGGAGCAGTTTGTGCCGGATGTGCTGAACCAGTGAAGGAAAGTTACATCACGGCGCTTAATGGATTATGGCATCCGCAGTGTTTTGTGTGTCATGTGAGTAGCCAATCCTGAAAGCTCACAATCTATTACTATCCTCCTACAATGATAGCAGAATGTCTGGTGGAATATTCCAGAAAGTGCATGGGATGGGGAGTCTGGAACTAGAAGCCAGTAGATGCATGACCATTGTGGTTGGGCTGCGTCAGTCTGTCTGTAGAATGGAATGGGATTACATAATGCCTATGGCTGGGCACACAGACTTGAGATTTCAGATATCCATTGTGTGCCCGAGCTGACTATTTGTAGTAGATAGATAATCTCCCAAATAGTGCGGTGGCAGGAGAGGGGGTTGTATAAGAGCTGACTATGGGCACAGAAGTGGCCTTCATATGACACTATCCTCTGTCCTGACTCTTTGATGTCTCCATTAAAGTAACAAGTTCACTGGCTCGTTAAGACATAAAACACATCTCTGTCCGGCCGGCCGGGAGCTTTACATTCAAGCTATCTTGCATCTCTAGAGACGCCCGATCGCTTGTATTAGCCGCCCCTATCACTGCCGGCACGGCTCTGTGACAGAAGATCAAAGGGAGATCAGTATACGGTCTCCCTTTGATCTCCTCTCAGTCCCCGAATGCAGGAAGTGATGTATATGACATCACTTCCTGCATTCTGTGTCACTCTCCAGCTACAGAAGCTGATGAAGCCGATCTCTGCTTCATCAGCTTCTCTGGGGGTTCCTAGGTGACATTAGGGGTCTTGGAGACCCCTGATGTCTCCATAAAGAGGACCTGTCATGTAAATTGGCTATCACGTAGGGGGCTTTTTAGCCCCCCATGTAATAGCAATAAAGTTGTGTGTAAAAAAAAATTAGATGACATTAGGGGTCTTGGAGACCCCTGATGTCTCCATAAAGAGGACCTGTCATGTAAATTGGCTATCACATAGGGGGCTTTTTAGCCCCTCCCATGTAATAGCAATAAAGTTGTGTGGAAAAAAATTAAAGAATCATTACAAAAAAATAAAGCATAAAAAAATTATAAAATAAAACAATTTTTTTAAGTCCCCACCCCCACATACACACGCAGATATGCGTCGGGTGCGCCTATGTGCGAAAACGATGATTGCACCTATTGTGCCGCACATGTTACATAATGCCGCAAACATCGGAGTGTGAGCAATCATTTTAGGGCCATTAATCATCAATAACACTAAACTGATGAGCACTAAAAGCGTTTTAATCGCCGCCTATGGGCCTGTGGCCGTTTTTTGCGATTTTGCATGTGCGCGCAATTTTAAGGCTTGACGTTTGGCGTCTATTTACCCGACGTGATCCCGACTTTTATATTTTACCAAAAATATGGGTAGAAATAGATGTTTTATAACAGAACATTTACGGTACTTTTTTCTTTATATAGTAAAAAAAATACCCCCCCCCAGTGGTGATTATATACCTCCAAAAGAAAGCTCTATCTGTCCCCAAAAAATTTTAACATAAATTGCAAGGCCGATAGTCCGGTCATGCTGACTGGTGACAGTGAGAGAGGAAAGGGGTGGAACAGTAGCAGTGGAAGAGCCAGATGGGGGG